TTGAACAGTTTGTATGTGTGCTGACCCTCCGCAGTTAACCCGGGACGATTAGAAAAAGAAACACACATTGTTGATGTTTGAATTTGGTGGGTTCGCCGAATTGAAATGGAGGTCCACAATTTTGTATTGTGCCACGGCCAATACTCGCCACAATAAATAAACATAAATTTTATATTGAGTTTTGTGTCATTTTTCTCTGTATAAATAAAATCTTCAGATAGAAAATCTCCAACAGTGTTGACACCTATCTGATACCAATTTTCTATAAAAATATTCTTATTTTCGATCTTAATGTTTGAGTTGTACCAATATGGAATATTTCAAGCCTTAGTTTTTAGGTCCATGTCATGTTCTACCTTTTTCATAACATATTTCCAAGAACTAAAAACATCCAACCAAAAAGGATTATTCTTTGACATTATGACTGTTGAAATGTATTCATCTTCATAATCTAAAATTTGTTTTATAACATCATTTCCATTAATTGCCAGGAATACATCAAACCATGGTTTGATTCTTGCAGTCGACAGTTTTTTGACCCAAGTGCATTTCAAGGATTTCATAAAGTTGTCAATATTTACCATCTTTAAACCTCCAAACAGATTATCCTGAGTAATAATTGTTCTCTTAATCTTATCACATTTTGATTTTCATACAAATTCAAAGATATCGTTATTTAATTAGGAAATTTTGTCAATGCAAGGTGCAGGAAGAGAAATAAATAAATGATTCAGTTTTTGTAATATTAGAGTTTTAACAACAGTGACTCGACCAGTGGGAGCTAGTATTCGTCGATTCCACTGTTGAATCAATGATTTTACCTTAGGTAGAATTAAATTATAATTTGTGTCAGTTATTGTTTCTAAATCTACTGAAAAATTAATGCCTAGCAAGGAGAAGGTTGTTGACCCCAAATCTAACTTCCATCTAGGGTGGTGAAAAACTTGGTTTGAAAATTTTTTTGAACTAATCCAAAAAAATTTTGTTTCAGTACTGTTTATTTTCAACCCAGACAACCGCGAAAAAAAATCTTCAGTGTCAAGTTTTTTGGTGAACCATCAAGGGCAATCGAAGTGTCATCAGCATATTGGGAAATTTTATATTCTTTCACCTGAATAGGAATGCCTTTAATGTCTTTATTTTGTTTCAAAAGAATAGCAAGGATTTCTACGACGGCGTATTCGTACCATTTTAACAATGTAAAAATTTTTTTTAATCGTTTGAACGATTTAAGAAAACGTTTGTACGATTTAACAAATTGTTTGTACAATTTAATAAATCGTTTTTACAATTTCATAAATCGTTTGTACAATTTAATAAGTCGTTTGTACGATTTAATAAGTCGTTTGTACGATTTGATAAATTGTTTGTACAATTTAGTAAATCGTTTGTACAATTTGTTTGTTAAATCGTTTGTACAATTTAATAAGTCGTTTGTACGATTTAATAAATTGTTTGTACTATTAAGTAAATTGTTTGTACAATTTGATAAATCGTTTGTACAATTTAGTAAATCATTTGTACAATTTGATAAATTGTTTGTACAATTTAGTAAATCGTACAAACGATTTATTAAACCGTACAAACGATTTATTAAATCGTACAAACGATTTCCTAATGTGTACAAACGATTTATTAAATTGTACAAACGATTTTTAAAAAAAAAATTCTACATTGTTAAAATGGCACGAATACGCCGTCGTAGATTTTAGCACAAAGGAGAAATAAATAACATGAATAAGGAGCGACAGGATCTCCCTGTCTACAACCTCTCTGAATATGTATTTGTTCAGGGTTGTCCCAAAATTTCGCAGACTGAGCTCATATCTTTTAAAGAAATTAATGTATCTTTATAAAGGACAAGAAAGGGTAAGACCAGTATTTGGCCCCCGATTTTGGGTGTCTTTCAGAATGATCCAACAGTTTATCCATGAAAACCTGTTTTCCCCCCTGCCACAAAATGAGTGTTGGTTTTAAGTACAGGGGTCACAGTGAGGTCAGGAAATAGGTCAATTTTCGAAATTTCTCATTTTTATGCAAATTTTCATTAATTTTACAGCACTTTTGCTTTCGGAAAACATAGAGCACACGCTTGCCTATCTACCAAATTTACATATTTTATACACTGATATCAGATGCACTATATGTGTAAAAATCTCAGATAGGCAAGCCTGGGCTCTATGTTTTCCGAAGAGAAATGTATCCCAAATATGATGAAATTCCAACAGAATTGAGGAAATTCGGGAAAATGTCCTATTTCTGCACCCTCTAGTGGCTTCCATGTAAGCTTTGAATCAAAATTAGTGCTTGTCTTAAAGTTAGCATCATTTTAACTTCTTAACTACAAACCATCACAATTTTACCAGTGTTCTGATTTTTATATCAAATAAGGGGCACGATTTGGCTGTTACCCTACCTTGTCCTTTTCAGGGTAGATAAAGCGTGTTCTTGGCAGATAAATTACGAAGTTTTATCATGTTTACTTGAACACTTTTCGAGTAATTACATATAACGTGATATCGTTCTCTAACAACCGGAGCAATCTGCAACGTCAAAAAATACAAATGTCAACGGTTCAAACTTTTGGAGAAAATATTTCAATTACCAGAATCAAATTCTTAAAATCAAAGTACTCAGAAGTACAGAGAGCCGGGCTCATTTACAGAGTAGAATGGATTTCTTACATGAATCACGTTGATATTCTGACGAAAAAATTATTTGAAAACTATCAATACAAATTTATCATAAATGATAAGACACTGACAGTGAATTTTCAATCCTAATACCACGGTCCGATTTTGTCAGAATCAGAATTAATCTGGTGCCGCAGCTGAATGTAAACAAACAGGCCAGTCTGGTTCCCTCTCCTGCTTTACCTCGTATGTGTAGAGAACTACGGTAACACTGATTATCAAAAATCCTTACGCTAATGAACTATGTTCTTTGACTTATGAAGTTTTCAAGGTCATTACTACTAATGTTTATTTATATAGATAAAACTTCGTTTTATTTTTGTTGCTTTATTTAGCGTTTGAATTATCTCAAAAGCGGTTGAGAGTAAGAACTATATTTTTGCACGTAATTTTAAAATGGCGACTATGGGTTCAACATCCTGCCTTGAACAGGATCACATAAGCCGGCAATTGCTCTTTGAGCAATTAGCCCGGCTAATAAACGAAACAGTTATAGTTATTCATGTGAAATATTTTAATAGTTATAGTTATTCATGTGAAATATTTTAATAACTATATATGATATGATCAAACATTAAAATATGTAAACAAAGTATATATAAACAAAGGTATGAAATAATAATAATTTGAAAACGCTACATTTCTTCGGCTTTACGTCTATTTTCTCTAATGGAGTTGCACAATGGAACGCTTGCCCATTTCTTAGCCCTGTCTTTTATTTTAGTTACTGTTATTCACATATACAAAGAGAAACCGTTTTAGTCATTTTAAGTACTAAGGACGAGAAAAAATTTCCTAGTCTACTAAACATTTATGACTGGTACATTTCTGTAAGAGTGAATTCAGGATCAAAACACTTGATTATAGTCCAGTGCGCCGCCAGTGCCAACGCAGCCGCCATTTTTCAAAAAGTCGGATTTGAACCCCATGTATATAAAACGTTATAAAATTCATAATTATCAAAGCAGAAACACCAAAATTTGAGGAAAAATAGTTAATAAAGCAGTATTGAGAATTTTCGTTTCCTTTCAAAAAATACAGGGTGGTAATTACTTTTCCATAGGATTTTAAATATAATATTAATACCAAATTTTAATTGCAACTTTGGAGTATTGCGCTGCCTTTCCACACCCGACAATGAAATGTGTCTTTTAAAATGGAATAATTTGTGTAGTTACTCCATATTTTTGTCCATAAATTTATTTGATAGTGTTGGTTTAATCTATATACCAAGTTTCATTAATGTATGACATGGGGTTCCTACAAAACAACGCTTGTCCTCGGACTTTTGGGACAACCCTCGTAGATGTCCACATTGCAGAACAGATGCTTTAAAATTTGTATTCAAAATTTTGATCCAATCAATGAATTCATTTCCAAATCCAAAATAATTCAGTACTTTGTATAAAAAAAAAAAAAAAAAAAAAAAAGACCATGATATTCAGTCAAAGGCTTTCTCAAAATCAATAAGAACTAAGAGACCTGATATATTTTTCGACTTAGTATATGACATAAGATCATAAATAAATCGTGTATTTCCCCTATATATCTACCTTTGATAAAACCAGATTGTGTATCTGAAATAAGGGAATCTAAGGTAGTCTTTAACTTAGGAACCCAGATATAAGTTTATATACATCACATTCAATAAAGTTATTGGTCGCATAGGATCTTAAAGGGAGATCAATGGAATTCAACATTCTGATACAGAAGTACTGAGAACAAAAATTCCTTATCTAATCAAAGAGCATCTAGGTCAAACATCCATAGAAATGCCGGAGAGGTCAAAGCCAAATGGAAAGCCACGAACCATCACTGTAAGGCTCATGAGAATTGAATATAAAGACGAAATATTGAAACAACAAAAGGCGAAGAAGGAGGGTGGCGAGGAACTACCGTTCTACATCACACCACTATCACCCCCGCAGGCGAACGAAACCCGTAAAAACTAGTCGAACTAAATACTAGTAACAAATACTGGCAGGAAAACGTTTAAACTCGTATCATTGGAGATAAGCTCGTTTTCCCAAACGGAACTGTTTACAAGTACAAGGTTTCAACTCCAAACGCATAGGAACTTCTACAGATGGACAGTAAGGAGATCGAGAAAATTGAATGAATTTCGACCAAAAGATCAGACACTCACTCAGATTGGGGAAATCAATTCAGTGCGGCGGCGGTTGATGTTAACACTTTCGCCAAGGTGAGAAATGTTTTATTTCTTAGAACGTAGGTAAAGAAATAAATGTTTGAAAACTAATGGATGATTTTTCCATTTTAGTCGTGAACCAGATCCATCATTCCTGGAGACAATTCTTCAAACTCTTGGTTTACAAAAAGTCCCCGAACCTGTGTGTTCAACGTCCTATGAAGTCATACTGGTATGGTTTCTCTATTTTATTCCGATATGATAATTTAAGGACATTTTCTACACCAGTGCAAAATGTTTTTGGACATTGAAATTTTATTTATATAAAAATGTTAATATTGAGCTTATTTCAATTTATTTTCACTATATGGTACATGTCATTTACCAACAGAAAAAATATTCAAACACAACAATATAATAGTCAAGTGAATAGAAATCGCTTTTATAATGATTTCATTCTACTTATTTTGGACTTTAAAATTTTAAGAGTACTTGAATTGATTACAAATTTAGTTGATTACAAATTTAGTTATCTAGATAGTTTTCGATCGCCTGAATTTAGCAAGAGTTACTTACCGTTGACCACCATATTGGAGGTAGACTTGGTGATTTTTCCTCCCTTTGTCTAACCTAATTTATGAGAATATACGCTAGAAGAAATATTTGTTGGAAAATCTTTATGCATTTTTTGTAATAAAGGAGACCTTTAAAAAGTTATATACCTCAGAAAAATAATAATTTCTAATTCAAAATAGCAAATTATTTATATAAAGATTAAAAATTGGTTAAACAATGAAAGCATTTGGACCCCCAATATGGCGGCCAACGTCAAATAACTCTTGCTAAATTCTGGCTGATCGAAAACTATCTATACCTAAACTATAAAATTATTTTCTACTAGTATTTTTAATAGTATTGAGATCTAAGGGCATATCACATTAACTTCTGAAAAATACCATTGAATCAGAACTCTTTAGTGTGCAGCGTAGAGAGGGTTCTTAAAAGGGGGCCTGGACACAGATTTAACTCATTTTTTATAAGCCAATTTTAATGCTTACAATTCCTACCTAAGGCATCATCATTTGATTAGGAAAAATTTTGAACATCATTTGTTGATGAACAAACAAGATACAGAACTTAAAGTTCTTCATGATGTAAACAAGGTTCGTGCCTTTTTTCTACATATAGAGAATATCATATTAATAACAAAATAAAATAAAATTTAGCAAATCAAAAGTAACTGTCGAATAGTATTTAAAATAAATTCTTATTTGAATTTATCTTCTCTGAATAAACATATATTAGTATATTAACCTGTGTAAACAAACACATGACACTAGCCTTGTTTGCATAACAAAGGTTTGAAACTTTAAATCTGTCTAGTATCTGGACGACTGGCGTTCAAATTTTTTATGATCATTAGAAAGACCGTACTTAAGTATTTGTAAAATTGGAAAAATAAATTTTGAAATTTTTGGCTGAAAATGTGTCCATGCCCCTTTAAGCTTATATCTTTTTTTCAGTACACATGTCACCGAAACCGTATTTCATATATTCTTATACTTATTGCCGAGAATGTATAATATTAAAGGAAAGAAATTTTACATAGAAAACTTACAAAAATATCAATTTTTAACATTTCTGTGGTAGTTATACCATATACTATTTATATGAATATTTTCTAAATCGTGGCTTTGTTTCAGGTTGTTGTCAGATGGATTGTCCTGCAGATAATTGCTGTAGTTTTCTACAGAAAGAAGAGTGTTGTGAAGGTAAGTTTTTATCAAAATATTTTAGGATATAATGCGTGTGTGCTAAATTTTTCTAATACTAACTGTTAAAGGGAAATGTTATACATGTATATAACGGCATGATCCAAACAGAAAAACCTGACATTAATTACGGAGCACTTTTTGGCTAAAACCTTTAGGTTTCAATCTCTGCAATTTCTATACGTAGTTACAAATTCATTTATTTTCTTGATATCTAAAGTGTTACGCTCTTAAAAGAGATTTAAAGAGGCTGGGTGGTTGTGGCCATTCATATACTATTTTGATCTCCATTAGAAGAAGAGCTTCATATAAAGATATAATAAAATGAACAAATTTTAAAGCTAAAATTTACAATTTTTTAGTTGACAGCTTAAGATATCATATCCCAAAAATAAATTTATATCTGGTGGTTAATGAAATATAATTTGTTGACCCCCTAGCCCCCTTAAGAGTTGTCTTTGTAGCGCACTTAGTTAAATGATCAATTTATTGATGGCAGGACAAAATGGTTCAGAGTGTACAAAATTTCATATCTGATACAAGTGTTGTTCCGTTGCATCGCCATTTGATGCCATTTGAGCCGCTGAACATGTAAGGGCCAGTGTTTCAGAGGGAATAATTTTCTTCAGTGAAGTTGCATCTGTAGACATTGGCAATGTGGAAAAGAATGCGATCGAAAAGTCAAGTGTTACAGAGGGTACAGTTTTCTTCAACGAAACATTGGCAATTTGGAAAAGAATGCAATCGAAAGTGTTTCAGGGGGAAGGATTTTCTTCAATGAAATTGAACCTAAAGGCATTGGCAGTGTGGAGAAGAATGCAACCGAAAGAACAAGTGTTTCAGAGGGAATAATTTTCTCGAACGAAATTGAATCTGTAGGCATTGGTAATATAGAGGAGAAAGTGATTGAAGATTTCTCCTCTTCGTCTGATGACAAGACAGGGTACGCCTCTGATGATTGCAATACTGATACAGTACTGATTCGGAAGTTGAATCTTTATGCTTAGAATCGGAGAGAGAAACTTCAAATGCATCTGTTAGCAACATCATCACTGAGCATGATTCAGAAGAATCATCAGAGAAAGATTTAAACTTCATCCAAGAAAAAGATCATCCAACTGTGTGGATTCAGACTGCAAACACAAAAGATGATGTGGAAGACATAAAAGATGAAGTATTGAATCCATCAGTTGCATTAGAGCAAAACGCCAATGTCTCGAGACGAGACACAGATGAAAATTTCGAGGATAATGTTGATAATGTGGAATATACTTTAGATTTTGCCGAGGAGACTACGGAGTCCAATGACGAGGCCCTATGGATTCCAACGAAGATTAGTGCAGATGAGGATAGTCTAAATCGAAATGATAAGCCTGAATGGAGCCAAACTGATTTGCATTGTTTGGATGTCGGATTTGTCAAAGAACACAGGGATAACTTAACGGAGAGCGGGGAGGAAGAAGCCATACGACTCGAAACTGTCAGCATATTGCAAAAATTAGAGGAAACGAGTCACAATCTGTCTTGTCAGAATCCGACGCAGAACAAACTGTCAGCTGTACACATGGAGGAAGATGGACCTCGAAGTTTTCATCTCATGGAATGAGAAGTGAATCTGATTTTGGATACCATCCGATCTATCTGAGAATGAAATTGCTCAGGCGTCAGGAGGCTGTGGAAGTGAAACAGATCCAGAGCTGGAAGCTGTTTGGCTGTTTTCTCTTGAAGTTGACACTAACACACATTCGTCCTAAACACCCAAGAAATATGTGGATGTATGCAGACCCTCGATTCATGAAGATTTTTTCGACTATAAAGGATATGGAATAGAAAACAATGATACTAATTATGGAGATGAGTTACAGCTATCATCAATATCCTCTGAGAGTGAATCGAAATGCTCTGAATCCTCCTATTTCGGTGTCAATGCCAACATGAAAGAATCTTGGCGGCGAAATTTTACAGAGGATAACGATCGCAGTTATGAAAACTTGGTGCGTTATGAGAAATCGGATGCTTCTGAAGATGAAACTGATGTGTTAAACCAAGAACGAAGGCTTCCAACATTAGCTGATGATTTTGAAGATCACTCAAGTGCAGCATTTGAGAGCTCTTTTCAAACTGATCCAAATATAGATCTGTTTAAGAACGTTCCAAAATGCGTCGGATTTGGAAGTTACTTTGCTACATGGAGAATTAGAAATTGTGCAGCTTGTCGCAAACCTCCTAAGCATCCTAATATATGCTCAAATAAGAAGAAGAAACTTCGTTGTAAATAAGATATTTGGAATTCACAATTTTAGAATTCAACAAATTTGCCATGACCAAAAGCGTCGCAAACTGATTAAATATCAGTACATGTATTTTATATCAAAATGATTTATATGCATGAGATCAAATCCTTGCTCTCCAATGAAAGATATTTGTGATGCCTTTTGTTGAAGTTTCAATGAACACGTTTATATTTGAAAATTATGGTGTGCTTCTACTTAAACAATTTTGCACCTAAGTTTGTGAGATTAATATTATAGTGATTAATGCCTCTTGAGCCATCCGTTAATATGATCTTCCAAGTTCTACCTCATCTGTTGATGGTGTCACCTATTTGCAGATCCCAAGTTCATCTACCTTTATGTTGGAAAATATGGATATATAAATCTCCAATAGAAAAAGTTATACCCTCTTCCAAGGAAGTAATTAAGAAATGGAGATAGGTAAAAAAAATTCAATAAACTCTTGGGCAGAAATAAATGAAATTTGGATTGTGTAGATTCAAGTTTGTTTAAATCATGACTTACGGAGAAGGGTAGGGTCACTAATGATAATTTTTAGTTTTACATAAGAATACATTAGGGAGAAGTTTATAATCTTCTCATGAACAGCAAATCATGATTTGTCATATCAAGCTAGACTCTTGGTTTAGGATGCGACCACCAACGACAATCCAACTTTTACAGAGGAAAATCTTGAAAATTCATATCAGATATTGTAAAATCACAATCTTATTATATGAAATCATCCTCAAGTGGTGTAGACTAAATCGTTAATAGTTCTACAAACAAATCTTTATTGACAGTGCAAAGATACGAAGTATCGCGAGTAAGCAGATGGCTGTCGTATAATATGTAATTACATATAACCATTATTTATGATTCATTTTTTACCAATATTTTTTTTTTAAAAACTTACCACGTTTTTAAGTCCAAAAAATGAGTTGCTAGATTAAAGATTTTGATACAATCTTTAAAGAAATATAGCTTTTAAAAAAACTTTGCCGTATATCTGAAGTAGTAAACTGAAATACATGTACTAGGCTGAATTAGCCTTTTTAAACTGTGATATTCGAAACGAAAACTTATAATTTTTAAGGAAAAGTGAATAGAACTGACGTGTATTATTTTTCACAAATTGACACAGTCTTTTTCTTTCGCTAATAGATAGACCTACTATAAGAGAAAACATTTTTTTCACCTTAAAATGTCAGATCATTTATCATTTCGTAAACAGTGTCCTCCGCCTTATTAATTAGAAAATGTTGCTTTCGTGCATCAGTAAGCAGACACGTAGCACTTGGAGGGGGATGGGGCACTTCTTTCCAAACTTTATATATATCTGTATTATTGTAAAAGGGTTACATCCCCCCAACACACACACAAACACAATTTTTGTTGCAGTAAAGTCAAATAAGGATGATGTACCAGTCTTTTTTCTGGTGTATGAATAAAAGAAGTAAAGCCACGAAGGTGCATAATCGGCCTATACTTTTCAGGAAAATTTAACTGAGGTAAACCAGAAAAATAATGGAATAAATATTATCTACTAGTATCAAACTTAAAATGTTTACGTCACATTCTTTATTTGATGACGTCATATTTGTACAGTAAACGTCTAAACACGTGCACTTTGCTAATTTTTAGCAAAATTTAACGTTTTTCACATCTTTAATTCAAAATTTGACCCTGGCCACACCCTACAAACAAAATAAAATTTATGTAATTAGAAAGAGGATGTAAAAATTAATACATAAGGCATATTTTTATTTTGTTTGTCGGGTGTGGCCACATAGAAAACTTAACTTTTCCTTCCATGCGACTTTTTTGTACCCTCGGTTCTGACCCTATAGAATTTCGCTTGACATACATGTAGCTGATCAAAATTCATTCCATCGATCATGATAAAATATTTAAAATATAATGTGTCCTTTGTGTGCATTTGTGTTTCCAACTCGATCCCGGTTCCGACAAAACCCTTCTCGTCGCCATGGTGACAATGTACGGGAGGTAACTCGTGAACCCCATAGATCGAAAGCCTACACAGATCCGACGTGTCAATCGAAATTAAATTAGTTAAAATACTCAGTACCGCACCAATAGCGTACGAAAAATTAATTATTATCTGCTCCTTGAAACGAATGATTTTGATATCTATAGTGTATATGTAATATATATTTTTTATTTAGATCCTAGACTTTAGGAACATATTACGCATGGCAATAGGAACAGGGGGTGGGTGGGGGTAATTTGTCGATGTAAAGTATGCTACAGAAAACATGCTATTACAATTAACTCGTGCCCCCTAAATAAAAATACCTGATACTGGTTTGTATATATACAGTATATTTTTTTGCTCGTCAAGGGTTTTTGGTACTTGATAGTGCCCCAAACTGAAAATTCATATATTTTATTCTTTAAAAAAATCAATCCAGAATGAGATGACCCTACACATAAAAGTGCTTCGAGTTTAAAAACATATAATTAGTAGTCTTTGGAGACCAGCTCTTCAACAGTCGTTTGGAATATCGATGAACACTAATTGTGCTCCATTTTGCCGATCTTTTTTCGGTTTCTAGAAACCAGAATTAACCCCCCAAAAATATAGATGATAATTTTGATTTGACCTTCAACATTGTTCAATTGATTAACAATATTTACTTTCATTCACATGTTGACTCAATATATCCAAGCGTTCTTAAAATAAAAGACACCATACAGTCTGCTATAATCTGCTATTTTGTTTCAATGTTTTGCTGACTTTGGACGATAAAGACCAACTTACAACTAAACTGTAACAACAAAAAAAAAAAAAAATAAAAAAAAAAAATAAAAAAAAATAAAAAAAACGAGATGGCTTCAGTATTTTTATGTCATTCTCTTTCGGTATTAAAAAGTGTTATGTCCTCCCAACTTATGCAATACCCAATGGAATGCTCTGACAATAACACATAGGTTGAAATTACACAGATTACAAGAACCTTGTTTTCAGTTAACATTTCATTTATTCTATGGACTTTATAATGACCATATAAGGAAAAATAACCTATCAAGCGTTAGTATTTTGACTGACTTCAAACCTTATATTAGGCCTATATTTTTACTGATACTAGTTGACTTTGGAAAGTATTTCTCATCATAGAAAGTATAAAAATTATTCTTTATAAGTTTAGTGTAATTATCGGTATTTAATTATTTTTGTAAGATTCTAAAATACGCGCTGAAATTGTTTTATGCTGCACTATTTCTAATTTATGTATCAATTGGAACTTAAAAATAAAACTCACAAATCAATAAAAGGATATATAAATAGGGATGTCCTGTTTTTTAAATGTTATTCAAAACCCATTTTTCCATTTAGAACACAGGAAATCCGATAAAACTCCATATAGTGTCAATTCTCCGGGACTACTTTCGTGCCCTACGAATAATCGAGTTGTAGCGTAACGTAATACTTAACTTAACTGTCTGGAGCTTGGAAATCCGATGGAAAAGATAATTCAAACATAAAGTACAGATAGGTCAAAGGGGGGGGGGGTAATAAAAGGCATATAGATTTATATCAGTAATATCTTTTTATAAATCCGACTGTCTTGATATATTCGCTATAAGTAAAGTTTTGGGAGCATTATGAAAAAGGACCAATCAACGACTGGCCTGGTGTCACGCGTTCCTTAAGGCGACACTGATAATGAGCCACATAATCATAACAGCTTTATAATGGTCCATCTTTGAAGTCCCTCGGGGTCATCCGCTATAGTCTAGACCTACAACCTCAGAACAGCTGAAAAATCTCAAACACGTCTTTTTTCACGAGTTAAGGTTTTACCTTTATAAAGTACAATAAAACTGTATCACCTTTCTCATCTCTTTGTTAAAACAAATACCTAGGAATGTGAAGAAACAAATCTGGAACGACACCTTAATGCTTGCAGTTTTTAGGGAACAAAGATGTTTTTATGCCATTCATGTGCCGAGGGGGAAAGGCATATACCCGTGCTCAATAAAACATACAAGGAAACAATTTTATTCAGGCTATACTATACTTCTTAGCATGTACTTGGGAGGCTCGGAAGAACACCCCCCCCCTTTCTAAAAAAAAAAGTTGGGCACCAGCCGCACTCATTCTGCAGATCAATCATGCTCTTATGAAAATTCATCATTTGATCTAGAGCCATTCTTCTTTTTCTAAGCTCTACTGCTTTTCAACTACATTTCCACAGCAACAGTCCGCATGTCTTAGTTTCGCATTTACAACGCTGTAAAGGCTAAGCATAGCGACACATATTGCACATTATTTTATTCAGCAAGCATTTTGCTACATTTCATGTATCCCATATTCTTTTAATTTTTCTATGTAAAATATCGCATCAAACGAGTTTTTTTTTTCAAATAGAAAAAGGAATTTGACGGGTCTTTATGGGATCTGTCTCCTGCCACCTTAATTCTATCAATACTTATTAATGCAAGTAAAGGTGTTTCATTTTGTAGATTTTTTTACCAGTTAGTAATAATAGTATACATGTTATAATGAGAAAATTTCTGGTACATGTAGAGCATCTCTGAAGAAGTAGATGTAGTTGGTTATAAACCATTACTTTCAAAATTAGTTTGGCTTAAAGTTAACAATTTGATTAAATAATAAAGCTTAAATAATTTGATTTTTATATAAAAAATAATACATACCCTTTTCCATATCACATCCTGTATCAGCCCGAGACACTAATATCAGCCCGAGGGCTGATACAGGGTGTGATGTGGAAAAAGGTATGTTTTATGTTTTTTTACATACTTAGTTATAAAATACAGTACACATTAATTAAGTTAAGAAGAAAATAAGTCAATAATCATTCACGGACTTCGAACATGTACACAGTTTATTGTCTCATACGGTTTGTGTTTGTTTCTACTTCTATTTCAAATGTACCCGATCCGTAATTTGAAAATATAATCTTTTATTTGTCAATTAGATTATCCTTACATTCAAAAAGTTAAAATGAAGAAGTTATGTAAACCCAAAATATGTGTATGATCACAAGTACTGTTTTTTGAGGTTTAATTTTCTAGGGGTGTAATATTGATCCGTACCAGTCCCTGCAAATCCATATCAGCCCTGCAGGGCTGATACGGCTAATGTGACGTCAGACATATCGCATATGCAAAATTCAGGTATTAATTACTAAGTATGACTGTAATAAATAATATTATACAGTGTTTAATTTTATATCTCAGATATGAATTTTCGGTATCATGGGGAAAGTTTTAAATAATTTTTCTCCATTGTACTTTTCAAATTTTCGTTGTGCTTCAATATCTCAAAAACCAACAGAAAATGTTGTTTTTTATTTATTTTATGAATGGATTTTGGTACAACAACCACAGGTATTTGGTAAAATAAGCGGGAGATATCTCGTATACGAAACAAGTGTCTATGGCAACAACACCTCCATTTAAAACAAATCTCAGGACAACAGCTTAAAGATAAAAGGTCTCATTCACAAGTTCCAACAATTTCCCTTCCTACTTTCTATTAAGTTCTCATTAGAAAAACAAAACAAATGGTGCAAACAATAGATGCAATATTTTCTTCAAAAATATTTTGTCATGGGAAGAAAATGAACGGATGGAGTGCATTTGAATCCGATTTTAGAAGGAATGCCGGCTTCATCAAGCTTTTCCGCAGAATATCACTCTTCAACTGTGTCGTTTCACAAACTGCTGAATTTTTGTAACATGGATACAACATTCCAGGAGAATTTGGCCGCTGTTGATTGTGATGTATATCGCTGACAATGTCCGATATCAAGGTGAAGTTCTTGTGCCATCGATAAAATCCCCACGTAGAATATCGGCATTTCATCGATACCTATCTGGGTCATGGCGGGAAATTCCTTCAACTGGAACCGAGGTCGTTGGTTGGGTTTCACGATTCCGTCTACTGAATACATATTGGTTATGCAAAGTACATATGGCGATTTCCCTGTTTGGGGCTCTTTGTTGATTTCTTGGGCAACTTCCGTTGACATGTATTCAAGTGGATAGCCTGAAATTAACATGTTGTTAATGTCGTCTGTACACTGTTTTGCTAAATACCAGAAATGTTCCTGCAAGTTCCCGCCAAGCGGTAGTTTTACTGTGAGGGGAAGGTGAACTGCAGCCACACCCGGGTAAGCTAGATACATGTTTTTGTTTTGGGTATATCTTCTCATATTCACCATAATTTCCACAGGAATGTTCAAAACCTTAACATCATTCGGAATCGATGCTTTTATCAACTGACAAAACGCAATACAAGAAGCAGCTATGCAAGCACCTGTAACTGTCACGTGATTTTGTTTACACTGATGAAGAAAGGTCTTTGACTTTGAAGATGGTAAATTGGACCTAATGGACTTCGTTGATTGCTGTCGGTTCCTCAGCTGCTCAATTTCATGATTGAAATGGACTTCGTATGCGCGGAGGGCGTCAATGTTTTTAACACTATCCTCACTACTGCACTCAGAAGAAATGAGCCTCCGGTTGGGATTTAATAGAGGGAGCAAGGATTCTATGGCTGGTAGCATCTCAATTTCTTTAACAAAGCGCGAGTCAATTGAGTGTTTCTGAACCATATCCAAGAATTCAATGAAATCTGCAAACAATGTTCTAAGATAAATCCCATCAGCTAAACTATGGTGAAAGCAGAACACGAATGAAAACTCGAAATTGTGCTCACTCGACTTTACCGTGTCAGCTTTGCGCTGCTCCTTTTCATTGTTGACAATAGTCAGTCGCCATAATGGGCCATCCTTAACTGCGAAGGACCTACACGATTCTTCGTGTAAGAGTTCTTCCTTATCACAGTTATAAGAAATTTGAATATCGAGTTTAACTGGGTCCATTTCAACAAACTTAAAGTCTGGGTACTCTTCTCCAGTTTCTTTGATTGTCATTCGAAGCATCGGATGTCTTTTCAACAAACACACCATAGCTTCACTGACTTCTTCCAATTCCACGGGTCTTTTACACAGAAGGGTAGCCATTTGTGCGTAGATGTCCACACCTCTGGTGTAAAACACGTGGTACATCGTCTCCAGCGGTCCGAGCTTCCTCTCGTGTCGCATCCCTAGGCAGTCGTTGAAAAACAGTGGTCCGGGGTCCATAACCCTAAGTGCTTAATAAAAAAAGTTAAAGGTTAAACACGTCGGCTATAATTATTAAAATGCCAATTTACATCTTCGGATTAAAGTTTATTACTTATTAATCTCCATCGTGAAATTGAAATTTCACACTCCAGTTAGGTAATGGGATGAGAAGAAATTTGAGAAAATTAGTTTTAAACTTTATTTCCTTAGTAAACATTCCTTGTCGTTCATATATCTAAAAAAAAAATATTTCCGCATTGTATAGGATATAGAAAATACAGTGTAGCCTTCCCCAGTGACATACTTAAATAAAAAAAATCTGCATTTAGTTTAAAAGATCAAGAAAGATTGTAAATTACTATCTTTTCCCCTTTAGCCAAAACATCATACGTAACCGGTCTTAGGTTTGTCAACAGATATATGTTTTGCACAATTTTTTTTCTCCAAAGGCCCTCTCTTACCTGCCTCAGAACATTATTATAGTCGGATAACTGGGTCAAAAATGCAACAAATGCACTAATTAATGCATCGCTAAGTACGTTTGAAAAATGCGGATATATGAGTGAATTGAGGTTTTTGGTGTTTTGACGCAACTCTAGAAGGTGCGCCAGCGGATCTAAAGAAGGAAGGGATGGAGACAGTTTCGTGGCCCAAAAATCTAAGTTTCTTCTTGGTATTTGTTTATCAAAATCGGTCACATCATTAAATTTCTATTTCGATTTTAAAGAAAAGTTTATGAAATATATTTTAAAAATTCTACAATAAAATGAATCCAAGCTATCGCTTTAGTTTATAAATTGACAAACTATATTAAGTTAAAATAGAAAAATAAGAAAAGTTTTTTTTTCGGAATCCATCATAAATGGTTACTTTTGATGGTAAATGTCATCATATTCTAACGTTGTCCTTGGCCTTAGAAGACGGTTTTAATGCTATCATTTAAAACACCCACAAACTAAAAAAAATGCGTCTAATAAATAAGTTCGTCTTTGCAAAGGAGCTCTGCGGGTAAAATTTCTGAATTGTTATCCATGCACTGAAATACTTGTATTCCTTATCCTAGAAACCAAGGACTTTTGCTTTATACAGTAGTTGACTAGACAGTTTCCTCCCTAATGATGGCGAAAGGGGAGATAACCCCAGGTTAGATAACTTTGTTCAACCTTATATTATATACTATAGTAGTTCCAAATGAAAAGCACATATACTTTTTTTTTCTTTTGGGGGGGGGGGGGAACACAATGCAACAAATGAATGTAAGAAATTACCTTAGCATCAGGTCCGACTGCAATATGATAATGACAAAAGAAGTTCACTCTTTATATATAAGTGTGAATCTTTATTTATAACTATGAAAACATTAACGAACTTTGAAAGCATTATAATATTACGCCATATTGTCTATTTTTAAAACAATAATTGTAAGAGCATGTATCGTAGGCGTGGGGAATAAGTAGTCTCTATATGGATATTGATTAAGGAGAATGGATTAACGAGAACATTATCATAAAGTCATTATTTCATGTATACCTTGGGTATATAAGTCGTGTATAATTACGTGGCCTCAAAAAGAAATGGATAAGTAAATAAAACTTTAAAACTGAAAAACGCGTGACCTACATACATGTAAATTAATTAAATGTAGGTGTTTAAATCGTGTGAAAATATTAAATGCTTCTTTTTGGAAGAATAAATAAATCCCTTTAAAACTGATGTTTTACATTACATATGTATATAATATTACTCTTTTTACATTTCTGACTGCGATTTTTTATGTTTTAATTTATTTTGCATTATTACTTAAATATTATCTTTTTTTTTTACACAAATATGAATTTAAAAAAAAATACATCATCCTACCTTTCCTTGAGTATCAATTTCAAATAACAAAAGGATAACCGTTAGACCAGTTTATATATATAAGACTTACCCCTAGACAAGATTGTATCTATCGAATTGAAATACAACGATGGTTCGCTGACGACACAGGTATATTCTGGTAATTAAAATACAATTACTTCCGCATAAAACCAATTGTTATCTATGTTAAAATTTACTAGATTGTCTTGAAATTCGCCGAGAAGTGAATATGCTGAAAGGATTAACAATGTTTTATATGACTAACATACAGAACGACCATTTCGCAAAGTTAGTTGTGGCAATTTAGATTTCCGGTCTGCCATTTGATTGGGAGTGGATGAGTGAACTGGTACCTTGTTGCGATTTGCTTTTTTCAGGATGATAATAATAGCACATGATGAAAAAATAAGCTTTCCATCATAAAATTGAAAGCACATCAGCTGATCAAGGAAAAATATAATTGGAAAACCCCTGATTTCACATGTGCCAATTGTCAGTGCAAAAGGAGTCATAAACTTTCAAATGTTTTGTACCACATTGTGACTTGGTAAAGAAAATGAAAGAAATGAAGAGTTTGATTTAGTCTGAAAACGGTAATCATATTTCATGCACGTGACGCTTAAGGATGCTAAAGTACTTGTACGTACTGCGTTATCTTTCATCGAATTTTTTATTCAAACGAATTGAAGTTAATGCATGTATCTATACAATCTTTTCAGGATTGACATATAATTTGAAAACAAGGAATTCTATTTTTTTTAAGCTTGAATTTCATATATATGCACCGTACAGTTTATATATCAAAATAATGAGTACAAAAAATATGAGGCCAAATTAAAAAAAAAATTAAAAATGTAAAAATACAAAATTATTGAATTACGGAGTGATATGACAATGGCAAAACAGTTTAAAAACGACAGATAAAGTTCAAAATGTCATCAAGTACGAACTCATCAGCCATGCACAACAACTGACAATCAATAATAGTGTGGACAAAAATAGGAACACAATGATAGGGTGCTTGTAAAATTGTTAGTTTGTTAGATTTCAGTAAATTTAATGATTTTTAAAAAAAAAAAAATTTCAGAAATTGAGGCCCGGTTAAATTACTTTCATACCTATGATATAGGTCCCTGCAAAGTATACATTTCATATCATCACCATCATCATCATTTCATAATAGCAAAAAAAGCTTTGTACGCTACATGTATTAATTATACACTTGTCAAACGTTTATGTACAGTTGTTAGATATAACATTCCATGGTAGTGATGGGGAATGTTTTTAATCGTGTGGAAAAAAACATCTCTGTGTTTAGATTAAAAAAAAAAAAAAAAAAAAATCTGCAGAAAATTTTCCTTATACATGTACAAAGGACAGACCCCCCCTTTCTGTAAGTCCGTGTATTAGATACCTTTGTATTAGTAATAAATTAATGCACCACATATTGAGTTATAAATAAATGCTAAGTAGAAGATAAGAGGCTCATGTGTATTTTTTAATGACTGCTTCATTAGATTTAGAACTCAATTGTTTAAACGGAATTTCCCACGGGATAAGGCATGTAACATGACACTGAGATGACAATATCTCATGACAGGCATATGCATAAAAATAATGCTGTTATAATCTTTTGAGTATTTTATTATAGAAGATAAACAATGCAATTAAATTTATTCATTAATTTATTCATAAATATCGCTTTGTTTTTTTCAAATATTAGATATCGCACTATGTGCGATGTTAAAACAGTTTGTTAAAAATGCAAGTGTGACCGTATCTAAAACCACGACCATTCCTCCTACATCAGACAACTTCAAAATTTACATCATTCATTGACAATCATTCTTTACGTATATGATACGTTTTTGCTGATAGATTTATCATTGAAATGTGCATAATGATAGCAAAACAATTATAAATCCTTGGCTATTTTAAAAGGAGGATGCCGTAAAATATGATGTTTGCTTCTTTTATCCCTGACAGAAATGGAGCATCCAAATACAACATGTACAATAATTTTGACAAACGGTTTATAATAACATGTATCAAAATGAACAAAGTTGCTAACAAGTAAAGATAATTTCAATTCTTGACCAAGAAATACATACATTAGTCATGTTATCATTAACAACTGCAAATTGTGAATGTATAAAGTGGAAAACAACTTTAATGAAGTCTTATACTCGTTTAATTGAACATTTCATGTTAAATCTAAACCAGTTTGTAATAACGAAGAGACATATGATCATCAGATTATTTTTCTCAAGCTTAGTATTGATACAAATTACGTTATAAAGTTCAACAGTTTTGTTAGTCGAACTGAATAGTACACATTTACAGCTGTATTGTGTGGTTTATTATTTTAATTTCATCATTGATAACATTTAATATAAGAGTGTATATGTACCCAATTCAGTTGATTCTCTCTCTCTATCTCTCTCTCTCTCAAGGGCCTTTTTAAAAACATATTAACAATTCATTATTATTATTATTTTCTTATTATTAATATTATTATTATTATTTATTTTACAATTTTTATAATCAGTTGATTCTCTCTCTCTCTCTCTCTCTCTCTCTCTCTCTCTCTCTCTCTCTCTCTCTCTCTCTCTCTCTCTCTCTCTCTCTCTCTCTCTCTCTCTCTCTCTCTCTCAAGGGCCTATTCTCCCATTCTCTCTCTCCCTTTTTTAACTTGGCATTAGTGTCACACTTTGCAAAGATGACAGTAAAGTGCGAAATGAAAGTCTCCAAGTTATTTGTTACGGCTCCTTAGGGTTTCGACAAAGGGACCTAGAAAAGCGCAAAATTAGCTAGAAAATATTTTTATGGACGTTCTTACGTTTAAATAGGGTTTAGAACATAGATTTCCTTTCAGCTAAAAATCTAAATGCAGAATTTATGAAGTAATTGTACAAACACAGAAGAATGATTTTCTAAAGTATTTTCAATGAACTTGCAATCTATTATCATATTAACCGACCGACCTTTTTTTTTTAAAATCTAGACAAGAGCAACACATTGACGAGTCATACCTGTAGAAGAAAGAAAAGCTGACTTCATTGTTTTTTTTTCAAGAGTGACCTTGTTGGAAAAATACATTGCACTTTGTCTTTCTTTTACATTCCTTCAAAAAGGTTGCGTTTTGAAATGAAATTTTGATTTTTATCTTGTGTTTAACATCTTGCAATTAAGAGAAAGCAAAAGGTTTATTTTTTTAAAAATCGTCCTATAATGGTCTTTTATATTTGTTTCAATTTAGTGTCTTGTTTTTAAACCATAGTGAAGCCTATACTTATTAAGTATCTTATAAATATTCCTGGTATTTAATTATAAAACGTATAAAATAACCTTGAAAGTGCTTCTGGTCGATTTATTTAAAAAGTAACGCATTTTAAGTTGGCATTTCTTACCTTAAATGTTTTTGGATTGAAATTATCATTTAATAATCATTGAAAATACACTTAAAAGATCTAGACACTGTTAAGATGTAAAATTCTGCTTTGTAGTTCAATAAATCGAAACAAACCAAAAGTTACTGCTGGAGTACTGTATAGTGGGCGGAATTTGGAGCCTCAGAGGTTTGTTTGTTTGTTTTTATTTTATTTTTTTTTATTTCGTCATTTGACTTTTTATTTAGAATTATTTGTTTCCTTTTTATGAAACAATCGTGATCGTTAAAGTGTTTATCGTAATACGCTATTTAAAAACATTTCACAATCGTTGTTTCACAGATATTTCTTTGAAGTGCGCAATATAATTTTTAAAAAGCTCTTCTTTTTAAAACAGATCGTGAAATTTTTTAAGGGATCAAACAGATTTAAAAAAAAAACTCAAATGAAAGAATGACAAACTTTAATGCTTTGACTATGAAGCCATGAATTTAAAATTGCACAAAAGTATCTTACAAATTTAAACGTTAAAATTTTAATTGATTTAATAACAAAAAGGGTCATACATCAATAAATTTCTATATGTATTTTTTATAATTAAAAACAGCCAATTACGTATCACACAATAAGATGATTAGTAAAAAAGGTATATTGAAACATAATACCAAAAAGATATGTACTTACCTGATTACATGACTTGTACAACCTAATCAGGACAAAACTCAATTTTCCAATACTCAATATATTTCAATGTTTCTACGGCATCCATCATCCCGGGGAATGTTTGAAGTAACCAAATAACAAGGTATTAAAGCAAACTCCAAAAAACAAAACCAGAGATGTCCTTGATAAATCGGACCCAGAAAGGTTCCCCATAATTTATTCCGGACTTCGGAGGGTATATTTCATTCCTGACCACTCGTGTCAGCGGTAAATGGCCGGGTCCATTTGCTCACGCGCGTGTGTGGCATCGTAAACAGTCTATGGCGAATAGAACGTCTTCCCATTTATGTCAGAAATTTACTTCAACACTTACGAACAAATTAATCCCTGTCGTTTCTCGCTAATTGATGGCTAGATTGCCAGACATACGACAGCATGAAATAGGTTTTGGATATTTGAAATATGTTTTGATATATTTTTTAAATG